TACAAGCCTCCGCGTTGGAGCGCCTTGGCGTACGACCTCGGGGGGTCAGTGATGAGGCTCCTGGCGTACGGGGAGCTGCGGAGGGCTCCCTGGTACAAGGCGAGGAGGGTACGCTCATCGGCCCCCTCGACCTCTTCTGTCTCCCTCGTCCACCGGTCGATGAATGACTGGAGGGACTCCTCGTGCTGCTGTTTGACGGAGAGGAGGTGGGTGAAATACTTCTTGGCGCGCTTCCTTTCGGCGAAGTGAGTGAGGAAGCGCTGGGCGAGATCCTGCCACGAGTCAATGCTTCCTTCTGGTAGTTCGTTGAACCACTCGTACGCTGGCCCCTCGAGAGTAGAGAGGAACCAACGGCAGAGGTATTCGTCGGACGCGTTCACCATCAGCATGTTGTTTTGATAACGGCTGAAGTGCTCCTGGGGGTCTGATCGGCCATCGTAGGACTTGATGGCGTTCCCCCTGTACTTCTCAGGGATGGGGGCCGAGAGGACCCTGTTGGTGAAAGGGGTCCTAGTCCTGACCTGGATGATGGGGTCACCCCGCCCTTCGGCCAGCTCCCTCTCCAGGGCGCTGACTTTGTTCATGAGCGCGTTGAGGCCGGGGTCGTTGGAGGCGCCGGCCGTAGGGACGTTGGCCGACTGCTTGGCCTCCATCTGAGCCAACCTCCTTTCCAGCTGGGCGATGACCTCGTCCCGGGGGTCCCCGTCGGCCGCGACGGCACCCGGCTGGTTCCTCCGGCGCTCGTTGTGAGCCGCGTTGATCTGGTGACGCACGTCATCCTCGTGCAACTTCCCCTTGCCCTTGTCCGGGCGGGGCTGGTCCGCTGTCCGGGACACAGACCCCAAACTCTCCCTTGGCGAGCCATGACGAGGATCACCAATCCGTCCCGCCATCCTCTCCGAAACCGGACGACGGCGCGTGTCACCTAGCCTATTGAAGGCAGAGGCTTTTCCACGCGCTGGGGTCTGCCCGGGCCTAAGAGGGGAAGCAGGGTGGGAGTGGGACGACGCCGTGTCCTGGGCCACAACCCCTCATTGTGGCCTATCTGGTCGGCCAGGGGTTGGGGATGAGGAGGTGGAGTGACGTTTCCCCCGGTCCTTGGCAAGAGTGCGCTGAGGACGGTGGGATTCTGAGCCAAGCTGGCGATGATAGCCGATAGTGCGGCCTGGACCTGAGGATCTACGGACGGAGAGGCCGCGGCCATAGGCTGGGCCGGGGCGTGATCCGTCTTTTCAGCTCGCTTCTTGTCCAAGCCGAGGCGGGCATCAGGGGCGCCGCCGTTGAGTTGGTTGCGGAGGTCCGTTGTGAGGTTGAAGGCCTCCTGGAAGAGGTCCCCTCCGCCGACCTGGTTGGCCGTGGCGTCCTCATCGTGCTCCCTGGGCTCTTGGTCCTCAGGGATGGCTTTGCTGACGAGGTTGCGGTTTGACTTAGTTCTCCCCATGATCAGTGGTTAGCTGTGCTTGGTAGCGACGAAGGGTGCTAACTTGATTGTTCTAGCTCTCAACGAGAGCACCAAATGATAGAGTATATCTCCTGAATTCTAGAGAGAAGTGAGAGCTAGAGAGAGAAGTGCAATAATATGCTTCAATAGAATGAATTTGTCCCCCCCTATAACTACCCCCAAGGGGAGTATTTATAGAGAAAATTAGGGTTGGGCTCCCAAGCCTTGGGCTTGGGAGGCCCATTTACAACTGGACCGCTACTGGGCCGAATACAAAGCCACTAATGGGCTGTACAAGTGAGTAAGTGTAGGATCCGATTCTGGGAGGTCCTCGTGGCCGACGAGGTCGTGGCCGACGAGGTCGTGGCCGACGAGGGCACGGCCGACGAGGGCACGGCCGACGGGGGCACCCGGGTTCCTTGGACTCGGGATCATAATCCGGGTTGGCTTCCTCTCGGCCGACGAGGGCGCCACTCTGTCTTGTGCTCTGTTCTTCCGAGTATGTGGGTCCTGGGGCTCAGACCCATATACTCCATCATTTGTATCTGAAATTGGTTTTATTATTAATTAATAAAGAATACTTATATTAAAATATTTAGAATAGTCATCTTCATCAAATTCAATCAGTTCAGTTAAAAATTATTGTCAACCTTATATTTTTTATCATCAACCTTATATATTTTGATTAGTACACAATAAAGTTATTTATGCTTGACGAAAAAACATTACAAATTGGCTTTGTTATTGATGCATTGGGAACGTAAATAAAACATATTTTGTTTGTGAATTAAGAGACTATTTATGGATAAAACATAGGGCGGGTACATTAAGCCGTTTACAAATAGTTTTTGTTTTAAATATATCAGGCACCGTAAGAGGTTACATTGTGGCTATCGTTATCGATCAACTTTATTATAAGCCCTAATTATGTAATCCTTCCGTCCCGCTAAGATTGTCCCATTTTATCTTTTCGGGAAGTCCCACTAAGATTGTCTCATACCAAATTTGGTAAAGATTGTGTGTCTCTAAATCATTCTTACTTTATTCTTACTTTACCTGCCCATTCACTCATATAAGACAAGTGGGTGCTGAAAATGTACGATGTAACGGACACGCTCACTCAAAATGTTGTTTTAGTTGAAGTAGGGGGCATTTACCTAGGCCTGTCAATGGGTCGGTCAGGGTCGGAATGTAGTGTTCCAAACCCAGACCCGCTAAGTTAATAATGGATCAACTCGACCTGTTTACCCGGCGGGTCTGAAAATTTGGACCCTGACCCAAACCCAATGGGTCTCGGAATCGGGTCGGGTAGACCCGCCCGCCAAGTATGATACGTACACCATTATAAACTTTGTGAAAATAACACGACATGTATGTGAAATAAAAAGCAAAGTGTACAAATTTAAAAGCAAAATATATCTTTACTTTTCAAAAAAAAGCAAGGTCTTTCATAGAAAATTATTACTTTTATCTAATAAAGTATCGATTCTTGTACAGTCATATAGTTCCACACTTTCTCTCGCACAAAAAGCTCGCAATGATTAAGTCATAAAAAGATCTTTTGGACTACTAAAAGTATAAAATCATATGTAGTATTATATATCATAATGATATAATAATATTAAAAATAGTAGTAATAAATATTGTGCTCTTTCTACCCAGCCCAATACACACTTTATCAGTATGTATTTACGGCCAAAATGGGCATTAGTTTTAGGGTATCTTACTATCTCGATCAGTATCACTTATATAGTAGTTATGTATTAATGTGTATATTTTTTTGAAGAATCACAACTAATAATTTTATGTATTATTATGTATATATATGTATATATGTATATTAGTTTCTATTTTATTTAAAGTGTTATAACTAATCACTTTATGTATTAGTGTCTTTGTATACAAATAAGAAATTTTAAATGGGTCCGGGTCCTTAACGAGTCGAAATCATATGTACCATACCCGACCCGTTTATTTAAAATATTAACGGGTCCAGATCTGGGTCCGGGTAAACGGAATAAAATATAAACCCGTTATACATTAAAAACAATCGGGTCCGGGTCTAGACCTGACCCATTGACAGGCCTACATTTACCGAACAGGGGCAATTGATGCTCCTATTTCTCTATGCATAAGGGGTAAAACCGTAAAATCCCTCTATCACGTTGACTCAAAACCTCACCAACCATAGCCATCCTAGTCAATGAAGAGCCACCATTATTGAAAATGAAGCTTTCTTCACACTTAGGATTGGTCTTTTTTCCTTTTTCTCTACCCCGGGGATCGTTGGATGGAGCTTGGGATAAACATAGTTGAAACTCCCTCCATGGAATTTCGAACTCTTGAAATCTTCTGTATGAGAGAGTGAGTCGACGATCAGATGAACAGAACCGCTTTATCACACTCGGGATTGCTCGTATGAGTAGAGAGTATCTCCCACACTTACAAATCATTATAAACACAATAAAAAAGAGTTGGGTAACATCCTAGAAAAGTTTGTGACAATATTTTGAGAGTTTTTAATTAGAGCTCGTAGAAACTATTTGTTCTATTCTCGAAATGAAAGTAAAAGAAGTATTTTTTTTCTGAGTATTAGCTCATAAATGACCCTTTAATTCCTCAACATAAGTTAACGGGAAAAACATATAAAAGGTCCAATATTTGAGCAAAAGGTGGTGGTTCATGGGTTTGATATTGTCGGGTTCAATTTGGTCAATTCACTTTTTCAGTCTAATTTTGAAAAGTGTAAGCGACGAATCGGTAACTTAATAAACTTATGCCAGACGGTGAATTTTGGTTAAACTGGTTTTCATAGGTTCATAGGTTTGTGTTGGTTGAATTCCATCCAAGTTTGACATGTATTTGTCATTATATACATTAGTTCCGGCTTCAAGATAAGCATACATATGCATATATATATATATATATATATATATATATATATATATATATATATATATATATATATATATATATATATATATATATATATATATATATATATTGGCAGTTAATATTAAATATTTCAAAGTAACTTTTTATGTTTGAATTTGAAATACTTTTATGTATAAAAAATAACTTGCCATGTAACCTCCCCCAGTTCCCTCTAGGAGGCTAGGATATACTACCTCTGTTCTTAAATAAATATAACGCTTTGACTTTTACACTATTCACATGTTCTACTTCGACTACGTTTTATTTATTAATGTAATAATATTATTTTATGGAAAAAAATTGTTAAACTTGTGTCATTGTAAATTTTCATAATCTAATTTTTCTAATTTTTTTACTAATACAAAATCATTTATATTAATGGTCAAAGTTGTGTCTCTGCAAGTGTGAAATGTTGACCGTTGCATTTATTTAAGAACGGAGGAAGTATAGTTTATGAGTACACCACTTATTTGAAGGATAACTATATACATTGCCTTAATTATGTAATTTAAAAACTACGGCTACTTATATATATATATATCACTCTTGTTAACTAACCATAGTGAACAACAGTAACATAATATAGTGAAATTAATGACATATAGTGCAAAACTAGAAGATTATAGGGAGTTTTTTTTTTTGCCTTCCTTTCATTTTAGAAGTCATCCATATGGAACTAACTTTATTATACAGGAGCAAAGTTATTCACATCATATGGGAAGAAGTGGTGATTTGAAGCTACCCCTTTGAACCATGCTTACACTTTAGCCAGCTGGGCTGAAAGCTCCTCCTTTCTTGCCGGAGAGTGGGCTTTGCTCTCCTCTTACTCTGGTCACTCGTGGGCTGAAAGCTCTTCCTATCAACCGTGGGCTTAAGTCTCGCGATGGGCTTGCATTTGAGCTAGTTACCTTGGGACTGTTTATATGCTTTATCTCACCTCGGCTTCTCGTTATAATTTCATCTAAAATCTCTCCTCCCCCACCAGCAATAGATGACCTTGTGCCAACTTCCTCCTGCTTCAGTTCAAGACACCAAGAAATTAGATATTATGATGTCCTACTTAAAGTGTGCCAGATTCCAACTATTAAGAAATGACATTACATTGTTAAAAAAAGAAATGAGAAAATAAGTGATCGAAAAGGGAAAAAATGACTAGAAATCATAATCGTGCCACCGGGCATCAAAAGTGGAAAAATGAAATCTTTGAGTAATAGTTATAGGTCAAAATGGATATTTTAAGGCATAAAATGTCTACCTATTGAAGTGTGTGGCCTAAAATCTTAAATGCTAAAGTGATTTAACACTAGATAGACAGCAGGCATTAGGCCATTGCCTAGTCTAATGAGGTCAAAGAGGGACTAAAGCACTTATGAGGGGTGAATTACCGTGGGAAGGTTGAAAGGCGCAGCAGGTGCCTCTTCATAATCTGCTGCATCCAAATCCTGAAGGTGTACACCTTTGAAAAACTTGGGCAGAACATATTGTCTTATTGGAACCAAAAGCATGATCAGTAAAGGGAAAAGAAGCCCAGCAATTGGAACCCAAGTTATCCCAAAACAGGCAAGCAAGTACACTGTCTGAAATATCGTGAATGTCGCGATTGCCTTGAAAGGCACCGTCTCTACAAAAGTTGCATGGTAGTCCTCCAAAACCCTGTTAGCCAGTTTTGCGATGTAAATAATATATATGGAGTACAACTATAAGCTTAAGTTAATAGTAAATTTAAGAGCATACTTGTATAGATGTATCTTCTCCCTACCTTTAAACTTATGTTAATACTAGTAGTTAATAATAACATACTTGTATCTTCTGCCAACCAAAAAACTTAAGTTATTAGTTAATAAGAAGGTACTTGTATCTTCTGCCTACATATAAACTTAAGTCAATATTTAATGAAGAACATGTATCTTTTGCCTATCTAAACACTTGAGTTAACAGTTAAAGATTTAAGAACATACTTATTTTTTCTCCCTACCCAAAAACTAGTTAATACTTAATGAAGAAGATACTTGTATGAGTGTATCTTCTGCCTGCCTAAAAACTTTAGGTAACAGGCCATGAAGAACATACTTCTATCATCCGCCTACCAATAAACTTAATTTAATAATTTAATGAAGAGCATACTTGTATCTTCTACTAGGCGCGATGAAGAGTAGTAATATTCTCTCCCAGAATTGATTCCCGGGTAGGCTTTCAATGGCCATATAAGCAAAATAACCCCACAACACAGAGGTTGGGATCATTCTCAAAACAGGCATTGCGGCAACACAGCCAGCCACCATTGTCGCCTGAAGCAAGTTACTCAACCGCTGCTCTTTCACCTCTACAGGCAACAATTCATCAATTTCCTTGTCAATGTCAAAATGTGTCTCATCAACCGGGGCATCAATGTGCCCTGAGCTTGATGCCATTTGGATGGTTGATTCCTTGAACTCTTTTAGCCCCTATGACAAAACATAAAAGATATCTTCACCATGGTATAAGAAACTAAGGCTCCTTCTGTAGCCATAAATGTCTTTTTCCACTGCTAAAGTGACAAGTAAAATAAATAAATAAAGCAGAATAAGTAGTTTTGGATTCACTTATTTGAGTGAAATAGATGTTACCCAATGCTTTTCATTTCTGGAAATAGGAGCAATATGTTATCGCTTTCCTTAAATAGGAGTAGCTCTACATTATTCCCTTTTTAAGTTTTTAGGAGTATATGGCTTCTAAAAATGGAAGTTAATTATTTTTGGACATTATTTTCCTTAGTAAGCGTATAGTCAAGGTATATATCTGTGGTACTTCTGTTATTTAATTAGTGTCATTAACATCTCCTTACTAAAAAATGACTTTATAGTTACCGTACAGGTACAATTACTCATAGGACACCTTTTGGAATTACAGTTACTGGACTATGAGCATACACCCAAACTCTAAAACGTTACAACAATATTAAAGTCACGGATGTTGTTACAAGGATAATATAGTCATTTCTTAAGCTTTTACTCCAAAAAATGAGAATAATTAAAATGTGATACTTATTTATGGAATACCTAAACATGTTGCTCCTATATAAGTCCTATTCCCTTAAAAATAAAATAAAATCAACCTTTTTTTGCCAAATAAGACTCCCCAAACAGGCCCTTGGATTTAGGCAAGTTCAAAAGTTGATCTCATGTTCATCCTCCATTCAAAATATAAGCATCGCTTGGTTGGGACATATAGTTCTACTGAACTAGTTAGTATTTGGATAATATTACATAAACTTCTTGCATCCATTTAACATAGCATTACATAGCATTACATAGCATATAACATACTATTGGTGATGATAAAAGTATGTTATATAAGTATAAAGAATTACATAGCATATAACATACTATTGGTGATGAATGCTGATGGATTAGAGGAGTTTGCATCCATTTATAAGCTTCTTGCATGTTCCCGTATAATTGTGTCAGGCTTGAGTTGCTCTTCAAACTTTCGCGTGCTGCTGCAACAAGTCGGTTCCGAAGTAGCTTTCAATGAAGAAGATGAATGTACAGTTTTAGGTGAGTTGCAGGAAATAAAATAATATTCACTCAATTATAAGAGTAAAAATTTTGCTACATAATGAAGATTGAAATGGATCAAGGATTTAAGTACTTGGTGTTTAAGAGTAGCCAGACTTTTAGTATGCATTGGAGATTGTGGAATTACACCATTTGAAGGAGGGATGCCAATGAGGCCACACATTAGGGTCTGCCATTTAACAAAAAACAGATACAAGGGGAAAACATCATAAGAATCAGAAGGTTCATATTATAGGCAGGGGTCATACTGGTATGTAGTTATCATATGCATCAACGGTAGTCCCTATGTAATATAATTTTGTCAATGAGTTCTATTTTAGTAATATAATTTGGAAAAACACGACCTATTTCGCAATACAAAACATAAAAATGGCATCTATCAAATCAGTTCCACAGTTATATTTTGCATACCAAAAAACCTAAAAGAAGCAAATCATAGTGAAAAGAAGGAGGCTTTCTGAGATTGAAATCCTTCTGCTGCGCAAGTTGGGATGCCACACTGTGGTCAAAGTAGTAAAGCACTGAAATCATAGTTGCTGGAACAAAAGCTCCCACTATGTAGAGAATGGGCATATTCAGCATTTCCTGCCATATGGATAATCATATATTACATGCTTGAGTACTGTAGAAGAAAAGTAATTAAGAGATGGCAAACTGATATGATTTGAAGTGAGCTAGAAACATGCCTTAATGACAGTCCAATTCTCATATGCACCGGGTGACCATGGGTTTGGGCTAGAGAGGCGTCGTGGAATCCCTTTTGGGACACTTTGTGATGGTATGTAGGACACCCCTGTCCAAACTAGAACCATAATAGGTACCCCATAATCTGCTATTAGGCTTCTAAACCAACCTGTATGATCAATGAATAAATGAGACATTACTTAATAAAATACTAATAAAATCCTGTTAATGGCGAATCCTTAAGATTACTTTCTGTGTGTGTACTTACCAGTTCCATACCTCCATGACCTTGCTTTTCGGCTTCTCAATGCAGTAAAGAGTAGACCAAACGATAAAACTAAAGCAAACATCCCATTGGCAAATCTCCATGAAAATGTGAACTCTATTGATTTGGGATTTTCCCGTTTTGGGATGCGAAATTCATCTATAATTCCCTAAGGTCAAGATAATCAACTCTTAGGATCCTTCTGGAACCCAGAAATATATTAAGGAAAGACAACATGAATGAAAACAAACAAAAAAATTGGCTGAAACTCAACGGGGTTTAAAAATGTTTGTTCACTTGCCTAGATCGAATTTACTAATTTATTTATTTATTCATTTATTAATGTGTGAAGGGTTTTTGCTAATATATTTCAAAATAAAACTTAAGGACAAAAGAATGACTAAATGGTCACCATCGAGATTGCAAGAATAGCACCATAGTCAATGCATATCATGGTAGCTAGAGTCATATGAAAACACCATCAAAGTCACTGTAATATAAAAGGCACATTTTTGCCCAGTACTCTACTCTTATTTTAGTCATACATTTGCCACTATTTCTATATATGTAAAAACTCTAAAAACATTACTTATAATTTTTCTTGAGTTTTCCCCAGAAGTAAACTAAATATAAGACAATAACTTTAACCATATTTTCCCCTTTCACTACCATTTTTCTTGCACCCAAATATACTGCAAGAGTATTATGATAGGTAGTTGACCAACAAGTTAAAAAACAACATAAAACTTTTGGCATGCCAATTTCACCTAGAGTCTAAGAGTGAATAAAAAGTGGCATAAAATTCTTACTTTGATTGCTTGCTGCATGAAAAGCATGGAAATAAGCATCCCAAATAGCTCTCCAGCGAGGCGGGTGAACCTGTTAATAATGGAGCATGCTCCTAAAATTGCCAAAAGAAACAGCAAAGCTGCTGTCCACACACATACCCTGAGAAAATTAAACATGTAAACGGATCAATCATATATTTATGACAACAATCAATTTGTGTACACGCCGGTAGGCAAACAACTGATAACAATAGTAGTATGGCACTAACCATCCAGACCATGCAAGGAACAAATCACGGCCCAAATCAGGCCTTTGTTTGGCAAAGTTAAACATGAATGTATACATGATAACAGTAGGCTCTGCCACTCCTAATATCAGCAGAGGCTGACCTCCGATTATGGAGTGGATCATGCCACAAATTGCAGTTGAAGCCAATGTTTGAACAGCGGTAAGAACTCCTTCTACAAGATTTTAAGTAAATCCAATTAATGACTATATACATCATCCCTTTGGAAATACATATCTATCTTCACTGCAGGTTCTTTTACCACAAAACCTTAACATATTCCATTAAAGAGCAGGGTGTTTCTTAAATCATTATTGAAAAAGAATGTATGGACAAAATGTGATTATAGTTCCTATGATAATATTGTCACATTAAAATTTAACACAATTCTGACCATTATCATTACTACTATAGTCATTGCGTGTTAAAAGTCTCATTTTTCCCATAAGAAGAGTACTCCCTGTCCCACGAAAAGGTTCTCTTTCTAAACAGTTGTTGTTGCCCCAAAAAAGGAGCCATAAGTTCAAACAAAAAAGAGTCAAAAGACAAGTTAAATGTGATAGAACTATTTAAAAAACATAAAATAATGAGCTGAATTCATTATTGAAAAGTTGAACTTTGGTTAAACAAGAACCTTTTTAAGGACTCAACTAGTACATAAATTTCTTCTGAAGTGATAAGTAATACTACTCCTGAAGACACAGTTTGTTTTATGATATTAAAATTGCCAGTCATATCCATTACCAGTATTCCTCTCCAGCTGTTCACCAAAAGATATGACTGGGATTGCTGACGCAAAGAATATGTAGGTGGTGGGAGCCAAGATCCTGATAAGTGACATTTAAACTGTTTCAGTACATAATACTACTCTGGGGTAGAAGAATCAGGAAGGGAAAATTCAGTTTGTACCCACCTCTAATGTCCACCAACGTGAGAAGGCTATTTTTTGTTCTGAACGAGATTCACATGCAAAAATATTCTTCTCACATAGTCACATTGGTGGGTATACGGGCGGGTACATGTGCCAAAACTGATTAGGAAGTGCTTACACACACACAAACACACGTTACTAATCTCAATATACCTTAAGCCAGCACTGAATCCACTGCTCCAATCTTGCTTGTAACAGAGCAGCCTCCCATGGAGATCATTCTTGATCCCACGAAAAGGCACAAACGTCTCTTCCATGTGATTGCCCCTCACAAATTTCTTCTTCTATTTCGCAATCTCTTAAAAAAGATTAAAGATTTCACCCTGTCCAAGACCGCAACTCATGCCTCCAGTGCCAATTTAAAACAACGCCCTATTGACAAAGCTTTATATGATCTGGGGGAATTGCAGTACTTTTCAAGAACAAGATTTATTTATTGATGTACACAACATGGGCACGTCTATTGACTATTTTACTATAATAAGAAAACAAAAAGATGTCAACTTTCACACAAATATTTGGTGCCCAGATCACATCTGCATTAAAGAAAATGAGATTAGATGGATTTGAGCATGGGGAAGAAACAAGTTGAAGAGTGTTTTTGAGTAAACAAAAGCAACGTGTGCGCGCCAAGGAAGAGAGGTCTGAAAATTCCAAATATAGACTTAGAGAAAAAATAGTGCTGGAAAATGAGTGAAACGCGAGTCAAAGTTGAAAGGAGGGAGGATATTCTATCAAAATACTTTCTCCTCCGCAACCCATTGAATTTTGCACCATTCATATCCTCTACTTTGACTATATTTTACGGTAGTATTATTTTATGAAAATTATTATTTTTTACAATATTGTTCAATTCATCTTATTACAAATTTTTAAATTCTGATTTTTTAATATTTCTTTTAGATATAATTACGGTCAAAGACGTGTGTTAACAATGTGAAATGTTAATCGTTGAAACTAAAAAAGAAGGGGTAGTAATAATTTGTTAACGTCACAATCATTTGGCTTTATGGCCATTATTATATGACTTTTAAAATAGTGGCCATTATAAGACTTTTATTCCTTCGAATTCCCCTTTTACCTTACCTGGGTTAAAAACAAAGTTTATAAAAGTTACGAGTATTTAATTTTTAGCTGAAATAATGAGATCATAGTAGGGATAGAAGTAGGTCGGAACAATCAAGTTTTTGCTAAAAAAACTTAGGAAGGTTTGAATATATATTGGAAATATATTCAAGTTTGGTCCATGATCACAAATCAGTGGCTTTTAAAGTAAATAAGTAAAAAGAGTGCGACTAGAGTGTGCGATAATTTATTACCTATAGTTTGTTACTCTTTATATGGAATTTTTTATTTGATTTTTAATTTCATTTATTTAATTTACTAGTTTTATGGGCAAAATATATCGTACAGCTGGCTTTAACGTATGATTTGGTACAACCTGGTTTTTTGTAATTACTTGCAAAACGGTGGTTATTAATTAGAAAAAAGTCATTTGTACACATAATTTGTATACATTTGTTGTACACAGGCAGTTCGTTCAGAAGCTCAACCTGTACACATGCAACTAGGTAGTGTAGATAACAAATATGTACAAGTAACACCAATGGAGGACCTAGGGGGTCATGAGGGACAAGTGTCTCCGCTTCACGCAAAATAAAACAGATATAGGGATAATTTTTATCGAAGAACATATAAATTGTAATGAAAATATAAATGACAAACAAGTTGTGATTGGGCGATTCTATGCACTCAGGCATGTAGTTGATATGATCACTAATCATTTTTTGAAATGTGTCATTGATGATTTTTGACTAAGTATGAATCATGTTGGTCTAAAGTCATAAGAGGTTTAAGATATGACAAATCTTCTAATATGTGGGCTTAACTTAATAGATGAAAAACTTTTGTTCTTGAAAAAGTATATACATGAAAAAAATTGTCAATTCGTTATAGAGTGACAGATCTTTTAATTTTTTGTATTGCAATATGATAAAAGCTAGATATATAAAGTCATATTATTAGATAAAATTGTATTAAAGGATGAAATAACAAAATTAAATTATACGTAGTACTTCATTTTTTAGCAGGGTAGTATTTTGATACGAAAGTCTTATGTGTTCAAAACTAGATATATAATCTATATATGTCCTTGAAATCGACATTGAATAATATATTTCAAGTTAAAAATAATAAAACAAACAAGCTAGACAGAATAAACCAGAGGCGAGGTCAGAGCACTGGACCAGACTGGGTCGTGCAAATAATTGTTTTGAACAAACTTTTACACATAAATTTTTACCTTAAAAATTAGAACAATTTTTAAAATTCGAGTGGGTCAGGATCTACGTTGACCCTCCCCTAGATCCGCCCATGGATCAGTGATGCACCCAACCCTAGCTATTCCCTTCCATGCGGTTATGCCCCCGCTATAGAAAGATATTCCACTTTTGGATCTGCCACTGATCAGCACTCCTCTATTAACCAGAACTCCTCTATTAATTAGGGAGAAAGATATTTGCTTCCTTTATTTCTTTTCGATTGCTTCTTCACTCTCTTCTGACTCGCTCTTTCGTTTTTCTTTTTTCTTTTCTTTATACTATCGTATTACGTATTTTACATTTTCCCCTGTGTTTATCATTTGTTTGTAACCTGCTTCTATTTTTTTTTTCTGCTTCTATTTTTTTCTTTTTCTTTTAATCTTGAACTTTAATTTTTCTGATTTTAACGTTTTCTTTTTTTCTTTCTGCATCCGTTTTTCTTTTTTTTTTCTTTTAATTTTAAACTTAATTTTTATAACTTCAACTTTTTTCTTCTTCCGTTTTTGCTTTTTATAAATGCCTTTTGTCTTCCGCTCCTTTAGTTTTGAACTCCTATTTTTTATGTAAATTTTCTACAATATTTTTTCCATGCAATTCTTTCAAAAATTCACATCGAATGACAATTCCATAAAAACATTTACTTCTCTCAATCTTCTATTAAAAGCTCCATCCTTCTAAATAATTATGAGTATATTATTTAAATTAAATGTGCAATGGTATAATATTAAAAAGTAAGCACAATAAAATGGGTTGGTCTGAAATAAGGAATTGGTGCTTCTTTGTGTTATGTTGATTTGAGCATATACAAAATGATATTTGAGCATATATCCCAGAGGTTTTGAATGATCTTTTTAAATTTTTCAATATTCATTTCGTAAGTTATTTATGCTCATTTTATATTGGTGTAATGTTCATTTTAAAATGTGCATTACACCAAACATAAAATGAGCATTACACCAAACATATTAAAATGTCATATTCATGCATATTGATGTAATGCTTACTTTAAATTTTTGGATGCTCATTTCGAGAGTATGTATGCTCATCAGATATTTGTGTAATATTCATTTTGTAAGTTACGTATGCTCATGATGTTATGTTCATTTTTAAAACGTTATATCTATACATATTTCAAAAGTATCATATTATATTAGATTCACATATTAAAATTCATAAAAGTGTAGATATAATTGATCGAATAAGTTTTAATAAAAGAAAAAATAAGAAAAATAAAGTGAATCTTTCAAAAAGAAGAAAAAGAAAGTAAATTAAAAGATACTCAACAAATTTATTACGAATAAATCTTTGTATGAAGCTTAGATCACGATATTCGTTGTTAGACTCCTAATTAATTAATACTCAACAAATTAAATTAAGTTTAATGTCCACTAAAAATGTATCAATGTTCATTTAGCTACTGAGTTTAAAATTATCAAAATGGCATAGGCACTGAGTTTTATGTTGTTTAGTAAAGATTCACAGACACGAGACTCACGACAAGTCATTGGTACTTCCTCCGTCCCGAATTGAATTGCAAATTTTGACCGACACAAGGATTAAGGAATCACAACAAATGATGTTTGCTTTTTACACTTTTGCCCATCTTTTTAAAAGTAGATGTCTGTAAGTTAGTGGGGAAAAAAGTAAAAGTAAGATTAAATTTGTCACTTTATTCTTATTTACATACCTAAAATAGAAAGTGGAAAAATATTTCGAGACAACCAAAATAGGAAATTTTGCAAATCAAATTGTGATCGAGGGAGTAGTAAATATTCTAGATATAAATGTATTCTTGTTTGATCAAAATTTAACATAAATACATCTTTATAGAAGCTATCATGATCAATCTCAGCAGGGACGGGTCAACCAGAGGCCCAGGACAACCTATGAGCCATTTTTGAAGTTTGATGTGTCAATGTGTATTATGAATAACAATCCAAATTCATATACGGAGTAATAAATATTATATGTATGTATATATTACGAATATTTCTGTTCGGCCTGGTCCGGCCACCTCCATTTGAGGTGGATCCCGGGGTATTGTTTGTTGAATTTTTTTGTATATGTTCTTCATCAAGTCTAGTCCATCCATACCAAATTTGAGCAAATCATGCAATCGCTAAGGCAGTAAAATGATTTTTGAAAGATAACTGCGTTTTATATGTATATTCCGGCGCAGTTATCTTTCAAAAATTATTTGACGGGTTTCCTGATTGAAGTCTTTACTCAAATTTAGTATGAATGAACTAGACTTGATGAAAAACATACACAAAAAATTTCAGCAAAAAATACTACCAAGAACCACTTCAATATGAGGTGGCCGGGCCACCCTCCTGTCCGTCCTGACCGGATATGAATACTACTCTCTCTCTCTCTCTCTCTCTCTCTCTATATATATATATATATATATATATATATATATATATATATATATATCCTTATATATAAATTGTGTAATGAAGTTAGTTTGGTTGTTTATACGTTACTACAGTCCCTACGTTTCTAACTTCGTCTGCTTCTCTCCCGTAGTATAGAATGAGTGGTGGATGGTTTTCCCATTTCATTTCCCATTTCCCTCTCAGTCATAGCTCTCATCGATGTGAGGGTCTCCTCACCATCAGTACCCTGTCTGCTATCTCTATTACAGGTAACCGCGATCTGCTTTCTCACACACGCAATCAGACTCCATGGCTCTCTTTCTGGTCTTCTTTATCTTCATCTGAACTGCTCCCATCCCCAATCTCCAAAAACTCAAAATTAAGCTAGGGTTTGCGAAGAGGTACGTCTTTTGCCGAAGCTGCCAGACGTTCATGAGATTCAAGCTTTTCCGGTGCCCAGCGTCCACGGGATTCAAGCTTCTACGGTAATACGGTATCATCACTTCACCCCTTCACCCCTCTCCATTTCCCGACTTCTTTTCACGGATCCCGCCCTTTTTGATACAAGAGTAGTACCGACTACTCCTGTCTAATTCATTTTTACTTGTAATTGTTGCCACATATTCATTTCCAGTTCTGGTTCAATTAGTCAAAGCTTCCGAAGTGCATCCATGTGCATCCATGGCTTCTATATTAATCCAGGTTCGCTTTCTATTTTCGACGAGTATTTTCTTCTATCTCCCAACCATATAACCCGATTCTATGGTATAAGTATTCTTTATATTTTGTATATGCAATTTATAAAATGCTTAGCGGAAGATAACAATTTCTTAACTTTCTGTGTAATAAGGTATATCCTCCCATTTATTTGAGGTAAGCTTCATTCACTCCCAACTTCTCTCAACAATTCACAAGTACAATAATGAAGGAATAAACATGTGTATATGAAAGGCGATGATTTCGCTGAACTCTGTCTCATATTAAACATGTGTA